AGCAAACTCTGGGAGTTGGTGATGGACAGGAAAGCCTGGCATGCTGCAATCAATGGGGTTGCAAAGAGTTGGACATGACTGAGCGACTGAACTGAACTGAACTGAAACCAGTAAAGGTTTTGATTAACAATGGTGAAGAAATTCCAGATTTAGTCATTAAGTGATGGATTTGGGTTACTAAAAGCTGTCGTTTCCTTCTGTGGAAGTGCTTTTTAAAAACACATCTGTTTGGAAATAGACTTACAGACATAGAAGACAAATTTATGGTTACTAAAGCGGATAACAGGGTGCAGGGGAAGAGATAAATTAGGCGCTTGGGATTAGCAGATACACACTACTATATATAAAATAGATAACAGAGACCAACTGTATAGCACAGGGAACTATATTCAGTATGTTGTAATGGCTTATAATAGAAAAGAATCTGAAAAAAGAAATATATATACACACACACACATACATATATGTATAACTGAATAGCTTTGCTATATGACTCTAACATAACATAAATTAACTATACTTCAATTTTTTTTAAATGTGTTTGAGTTTAGATTCTTTTTGGAATGACTGAATGACTTTACAAATGGCTGTGTAAGATATTCAGATGAACTCACAGTTGAGAGAGGATAAGAATTAAATCAAGTCAATCTATCCAGAACTGCACCATTCCAGTTTGTTAGCCACTAGCCACATGCGGCTACTGAGCACTTGAAATGTGACTGCTCCTAATTGCGATGTCCTATAAGAATAAAACACACTGGATCTTAAAGACTTAGTACACAAAGAGAATGTAACATATTTCATTAGTACTTTTTAATGTGACTATATGTTGAAATAATACTACTTTGGATATATTGGATTGCATAGACTATGTTAAATTTCACCTGCTTCTTTTTAATGTGGCCACTGAAAAAAATCTTAATTGTGTGTGAAGTTTACATTGTATTTCTTTTGGATGATGCTGAACTAAAACCTTACTGAATGATTCTGAGAAAGCTAACTCTTAAATTTGATCTTTAAAGCTCAGACATTGAGAATGAGATCGCCACTCCAGTGCTAAGAATGTCAGAGAGCATTCCTTTCTTCAGTCACATTGGTAAATACCCAACTTATTTTTGACCCATGGTCAAATTAGCTTGCTCCGAAAGCAGCTTCTCACTTTTAAAAGATGGTATGAAAAATTCTCTTTTTCCAAGAACAACTAATAGTATTATAAAAATGAATGCTACATACTTTTCAGGAAAATTCTTCTTAAAACAAACCACCTGAAACAGGTTTCCTAAATAACTCTCCCTTATTTGAGGGGCAAACTGAAAAGTAGACCCTGGAGGACATAGTTGTTCTACTGTTATTGGATAGCCTGAACTTATTATGCCATATAGTGTGTTGATTCAGTTTAAGTGTGTTTCTGCAGTTTTGGTCAGAATATCAAATATTACTTTCCATATTACTAGTGGCCCCTTTTAAAAGAAAATAACTTGATTAAATATAGGCACATAATTAAATATAGGGACACTAAACATAGTAGTAGATTCTTCCTTAAATCTTTAAAAATTTCCTTGCAAAATGAGAAAATACAAGGCAGAGTGGAGGAGTTCCCAGTCACTAAAGATAAAGTAGATCTTCAAAACACCATGGTAACCCTGGGTCAGGTCACTCAAAGGAATGTTCTAAGCTAGTATCTCTAAGCAGTCAGATAATTACAATTTCAAGTCATATTATTATCACCTATTTTCAAATTCCTTCCTACTCTACTTCATGAGCTGATTTGTAGGAAAATACTCCTTTTAGTTTGCTATATCAGCAAGGAATTAATAGCAGTTAGTCTTTAATTCACACTCACATCTAAACACATATTTGGAGCTTAACTTCTTGGAATCTATAGCTTGAATGCATAGATGGTGCCTTTGTGTTTTGAAACTGTGATTTTTCTTTTCAGGCTATTTAATACACCCATTTAATCAATACTTGAATTATGGAAAATGGTGCCTCAGTTATCCTAGATATAAGCCATATTTTGCATCATTGCCCTTATAATTTCAATATGTTTTTATGTTGTTAGTTTTGTGCTGCTCCATCATTGTTTGGATTTTAGTCCCTGAAATGTCAAAAGATAGCGCTAAGTCGTGTCCAACTCTTGCAGTCCCATGAACTGTAGCCCGCCAGGCTCCTCTGTCCATGGGATTCTCCAGGCAAGAATACTGGAGTGGGTTGCCATTTCCTTCTCCAGGGGAACTTCCAACCCAGGAACTGAACCCAGGTCTCCCACATTGCAGGCAGATGTTTTATTGACAGGTCCAGTGACATTTAAAGTGTTTTAATCTTTGAAGGCAGGGTCCCCAGCAAACCTGCCTTTATTTTTGAGGGTGGATTAGAAGAAACTAGACCATAAGCATGTCCAGCCATATACCAAGGAGACGTGTGTGTCAAATGCAGAGGTCTTTAGAGCATCCGTTTCTAGTATGATCTTTCAGTATAACAATTGTGGCACATGTCAAATGCTGAATACGGAGGTTGAAACACGTTGCAGTTACATGAAAGGGGCAACATTTAAAGTAAGTGGAAAACAGGAGAAAAGACCCATTTTTATTGTGGCAAACACTAAATCTCCATTTGCTTCTTGACTCTGATGTCAGAGCATTGAATAGAATCAGACTTTGATCAGAATAGAAAGAAATGGAAAGAGAAACTAAGGTGAAAGCAGAAGGTATGAAAAGGGTCACTTCTAATAAAATGAGAAGGTAGAGATAAACATTAAAACAAGTACTACAACTCCTAAGCTTTTTGTAGAATCAGAAGGCAGAATAATCTTACAGGGAGAGAAAAAAGTCTGCAGGCATCTGATTTATATTGTCTGGCTTCAGCCTGGTCCTCTAGTGCACTTGTCAAAAGTCTTCCTCGTAGTTATGACTCCCCAGCACAAAAGCCACACCTTATTCACACCTGTCCTCTCCTGGAGATAGAGACCATGTTTCATGTGCATCTCATCTCTTTCTCCACAGTGAAGACCGAACCACCTTAACCCCTTCAGCCCCACACTGTTGCACTCCACACAGTCCTTTCCCATCTGTTTTCTCATTAGAATTTTGCCACTGCCCTCTGAAGTTGTAGACCATGCAGGTCCTGCATCATGTCACTATCCCCGTTTCACTTGCCATAAGGAAAGCATTTGTAGAGGTTAGCAGTAAGCTGGCAATAGTAGTGACAGAGGCTGGACCGGCACCAGGTTTTCTGACTCTAGATCCTAAGGGATTTTCATCACTGACACTTACAAACACAGTGTTCTCTTTAAAACAACAGCAAAAACGGACAAAAAATAATCAAACTTTCTTTGACCCTGCTATTCCTTTCCTACTACCAGGATCATGTCTAAACCCAGCCTGGCATCCTGGAAGGACTGACTTTGGAGTTAGGCCAGGGATCAAAACCAACCCCTTGTAATTGCTATATGATCCTGAACAGGTTTCAAAGTCTCAGTTTCCTCATCTGTAAAATACTTATCTCGCAGGCTTGTTGGGACATTAAATGACAACAATCATATTGAGTACTTAGACCAGTGAGAGAGGTGATCAGTCTAAATTTGTTATATCATCATTGTCTGCATCCTGAGTTTGAATCTGACCTCTCCGCAGAATGTGATCTTAGCACGTTTATGGCCTTTTCCTGGTTGAATCTTTCTTACAGCTTTTCTCAGCCTTCTCTTTAAGTTTTGTTCTTGTTTAGTCGGTTATTCGTGTCTGACTCTTTGCAACCCCATGGACTGTAGTCTACCAGGCTCCTCTGTGCATGGGATTTCCCAGGCAAGCAAATTGAAGTAGGTTGCCATTTCATTCTCCAAGGGATCTTCCCAACCTGGGGATCGAACCCGCATCTGCAGCCTTGGCAGGCGGCACCAGGGAAGCTCCCTTCTCTTACTACTTATGCCTTAATTCCCCCATTTTCTTGACTTTCTTAATATTGTATTATTGATTCTTACTTTTCTGATGGTTTTTCTTTTGTCTTCCTTACTGACTTCTTTACCTTATTTATACCTTCTGTGAATCCTCTAAGGTACCTTCTGCAGCCATTGCTCTTGTTGCTAAGACTAAGTTGAGTTAACAAATCAGCAAGGAGGTAATGTTATCTCTCTGCTTTGTGCAGTATATCCTTAACCTTGGTTCTTTTACCTGTCTCCCTTCTACTTCCAAATATAAAAATGCCACACTGGATTTTATTCATCTCCAAGCAGGTGAAACTCCAGCACTGTTAACACAGGAAGGCTTTAATTATCTTGTTCCATGTAGACATGACTAGTGACACTTACACCCAAACTATTTTTGTGTGATAGTGATGATCACAACGATGAGGATATTAACACTTTTATTTTTCAAATAGTATTATGTAACTTACACAGTAGTCTTTCCTACATTATCTGAATTTGTTTTTCAAAATAACACTGTGAAGATAGTGTCTTGAATTATCCAACACATTTTATAGATGATGTAAAATAAGTCCTAACTTTGATGTTGAGAGTAGTGCCTTTTCTGTTTACCTTTACTGTTTTGTTTTTTGCCTTCTATTCCATGTAACTTCCCTAAGTGTGTCTATAAATGCTAGATTTTAGGCTAAGGAATAAACATCGTATCCTTAGGCAATTTAGGGAAACCTCAGAAAAAGAAGTAAAATTCAAGACAGCAAATTGAGTTGTTTATTAGCTGATCAAAAAAGAGTTATACATTTTGAAACCTGTTTACAAGAGTTTGGGTTAAGTATTTAGTTGTGTTATTTACATTGCTTAGTAATAGCTGACTTGTATATTGCTTTAAGCTGGCAAGAATATTAATAAGTTATATTGTCAAAGATGTCAAAGGGCAAAAAGTTAAACTTTATTTGAATGGGGGATTTCATCTCTATAGTTAGAGAAGTCTTCATGTTACCATAGATCCCATCCATTCATTCATCATTCACTCGAATTGTCTTTTGAATTCTGCCTAACAAGGTGTTCTGTGTTTGTTTTTCAGATCTAAAGCGGGAAGCCAGTATCTGTCATATGCTGAAACATCCCCACATTGTAGAATTATTGGAGACATATAGCTCAGATGGAATGCTTTACATGGTTTTTGAATTGTGAGTGTGCATTTTACTTTCTTAAGCGTTAGCTTTAGACAATGTTCATCTTAGATAATGCTGACACTTCTAAAATTTCAAAATAGTTGTGAACACATCTGTTCAGAATGACCTGAAGTAATAAGAATAAAAGGAACCTCTCCCTGTAAGATTCACAGTGGCTAAGGGCATGTTTGGTTACCCTCACATTTTTAGCATACTTTAGAGAAGTGGAAAGCGGAGGAGATAGAGTTCAGAAGAATAGGAGGTCCCAAAAGATACAATTCTGACTACAGGAGTCTTAGTGAAAAGGGTTGGGCTGAGAGTAGAGGCCTCCATGTCACAAGCCTCTCTATGGTGGTTAAGTAGCTCAGTCATGTCCAGTTCTTTGCGACCTCATGGACTGTAACCTGCCAGGCTCCTCTGTCCATGGGATTCTCCAGGCATTAGAATACTGGACTGGGTTGCCATTTCCTTCTCCAGGGGATCTTCCTGACCCAGGGTTCGAACCCAGGTCTCCTGCATTGCAAGCAGATTCTTTACCAGCTAAGTCATGAGGGAAGCCCCGAGCAAGCCTCTCTAAGCACCTAAAAACAAATACTAACAGATTTCCTCTTTTAATGCAATCACCATATTGGCAAGGAATATTCTGTAGATAACAGTAAGTCTTGATTTGAGGAAGCCACTCAACATGATTCTCACAAAAATTTTGTTGGTAAGATGGAGAAACGTGGCCTCAGGGTAGTACAATTGGGTAGTTTCATAGCTGATTGGATGATTGTGTCCAAAGAGACTGTATCAAGCTTTATGGGGTGACATACTATTCAAAATTTTAATCAGTGACTTTGATTAGGGTCTCTCACAAGGTGGTAATCCAGGCATTTTCCAGGGCCAAAGTCACTCTAAGGCTCTGTTGGGGATGGCTCTGCCTCCAAGCTCACTCACATGGTTGTTGGAAGCACGCTATCAGACTGAGGGCCAGAGTTTCTCATGAGCTGTTGGCCCAAGGCCTCCCTAGGTTCCTTGTCACTGGGTTTCTCCCTAGAGCAGCTCCATGGCAGCTGGCTTCATCAGGGTCGGTCAGCAAGCAAGACCACAACAGTAGGAAGCAGACAGAAATCAGTCTTGTAACTTGCTGTCTGAAATCACACACCATCACTTCTGCCATATTCTATTAGTTAGAAATAACTCACTAGATCCTGTCCACACCCAACAGGAGAGGATTACATCAGGTTGTGAAGACCTGGAGGTGGTGATCACTGAAAGCTTTGTCAGAAGCTGCCCTCTCCAGGGGGCTAGCTAATAAAATGAATATCTAAACCAAATTTTAAACTATTTTACAAGGTCGTAGCAAAGGATCTAAAACAAAGAAGGTGAAATTTAAGACCAATTAATATAAACTCATTCATTCACATATATAAGTGCAAGATCACTGTGAATTTAGGTGTAAATGCTTATGTGAAAAAGATGTCAGCAGTTTAGTTAGTTGTTGCAACAGCTTTAAAAGCCCTGGATGGAACCTTTGGGTACATTAAGTAGAAGTGTGTGGTGTGCAGAACCAAGCCCCAGCCCCAGCGTGTTATATCAGTGTATTGCCCATTCTCCCTAGAGTGTTCCTAATAAGTAAGACACTGGCATGCTTCCAGAATGGGATCGCCTGAGTGGGAAAGAGCCTAGAAATTCCATCATAGCCTGCAAAGTTTTTGTTGGCAAACCTGCTAAAAGATGTTTGAAAACTATATGCTTCCAGACATAGCTTTCAGTTGTTAAAAACTAATTTGTGAGGATGCAATTTTTGGTCATTTGCATGTTTTTAAAAATGCGTTCTCTTCAAAACTCTAGCACTATACCTTTAGCTCATTCAGTGTATGGAAAATGTCCGCTCTGTGACCTAAATGACAGAGCTAGACATCATCGTCAAACTCATCAGCCAAATCAGGCTCACTTTCTCTCAGAAAAACAAATCAGACTTCATTTTTCAAATAAAATTAAAGTGTTGATAGACATCACCGTGACAGTCATTTTACAATTGATGTCTAATTCTAAATTAGATAAGGCTTTGCCGTGAATATATTGTCTGGATGAAATAAGGTGGCTCTCCCCGTCCTTTCCAAAGCTGTTTTGCTCTCACAGATCACAAGCTTTGCATTCCCCAGTTGTCTCTTTGAAGTTAGGCAGGCTTTTTAGCCCGGACGAGTGGTTGGTCTTTGAGATGGGTTCTTCTGAGTGGAGATACAAAAGGAAAATCAGCAGACCACAGGCTTGTTTTCAAACAGACCCAATCATGGCAAATGTAGCTATGGCTTAAATGCCTTAAAAATATCCTGATATGTGTGTCCCCTGAAAAGGGTTTGAGTACTCCCAGAAATACCTAAGTCCCACTTTGAGGACCACTTGGCCTGGAAGAGCTATTGAAAAGACTAGGAAAATTTAGTTTCCCAGGAATCTATTCATTTTTCTTTTACTGCTAAAAGAGTCCCCAGATCATAAGCCCATAGTGGATCATAATGGATGTCTTTAGTGCTTTGAAAGATCATCAAGTGTAAGAGGATTCTGTGTTTATTCAGTGTAGGGTGAGGAATTGTAACAAGAATCAATAGGTGGCAGGTAGATTTCACCTGTAAGCAAGGGAGCCCTCTTTGATGATTAGACTATTTGCATGAATGAAGTGGCTATTTCACTGAGTCTGCCATTCCTCACTAGAAATGCTCAAGCTAAACCTGTATCCATCCAGGTGTCCTGAAGAAAAGGTTTTAATTTTGGACTACAGAGGGGCTTTAACGTCCCTTCTAATTTTAACATATTATAATTCTTTTTATTTTATTCTTTATTCAAGAAATTTGTTTCTGTCCATACTTTTTTATTCATTAAGAAAACTAGACAACAGATTTTGCCATATACTATAAAGTAGCAAGCACAGAAAGCAAAATTGTAAAATTCACCTAAATTTCACATTTGCTATTTGTTTCAAAGGGGTCTAAGCAACAGTATAGTACAGAGAAGATGGTCCTTGGTGTCATAAAACTTGGGTTAGTATCCCACCTCCATCATTTTTACTAATTCTGTGACTTTGACCAAGTCTTTTAACTTTAAAATCTTCATAAGATTATGAAAACTTGATGAGAGATCAGTGTTCATTCACCTTAAAAGATGGTGACTTGCTCTACAATGATAAAGTATTGTTTCCACTGAATTTAACAGGTTAGTTTTAGTTTCACAATGTTGAATTATATGGGATTTTATATAGCTAAATTTTGTGTGATTCAGTTGTGATTAGATGGCTATATATCAAGAACAAGACCTCATTGAAGTTACATAGTTACCAGCCACATAATCTCACTGTTAACCCAAATAGCTAGAACATAGCTTCCTAGTTTTTAACCTTTTATTTTGGAAGTTTTCAAATGGAAAGGAAATAATATAAGGAACCTCTGTATGCCTGTCACTGAGCTTCAGTAGTTATCAGTATTTTGCCATTCTTATTCTGTCTATCCTTTACTGTTGTCTTTTTTTTAAAATATCATTTCACCTATAAATACTCTGTTTGTATTTATAGATAAAGACTCTTTGTGTGTGTCTATGTGTATGTATAAAATACTATTATCATATCTGTCAGAATCAACAACTCCTTAGTATCATGTCATATTCAGTTAATGTTGCTTTCCTTGATCAAACATGAATTTTTAAAGGATCTGTTTCTCAATTTAGAATTGTTCTATTAGCCCTAGGGATCTGGAAGTAGATTATAAATTCACAGTTAAAATAACAGTAAGTTCTCAGAAGGGCTAGAGACAAAATAGAAATATAAAATTGTTCTTTTGTATCATTCTTTTTTTATAAATTCACCTCAACAGTCTTCTTTGCCCTGTTTTTTGCATTCCCTTTGATCCCCTCAGTTTAAAACAAATGAACAAACCCAAACCATTCATTACTGTAAGATTTAAAGTCCTGTGGATCAAAGAGCAAAGCATAAGCTTGTGCGTGCCTCCCCCTACTGGCTTTATAAGAGATTGCTCACATAACTGTTACGTGTTATAGGCAGGGCTACACTAGAATTTTTCTGGCAATAGATCTGATGACCCTTAGTATTCAGGGTCTCTTTGCTCAGGTTATGGGTTATCGAGATCTTTTCCAGTTTTCTGACATGACACCAATGCAGAGTAGGCAAATAAACAGAAAGCAAATGAAATAAGATCAGTTGACTTTGCTATTTGTAGGCTGCTTGGAAATAGCTCTGATAATTTTGATGGAGAAAAGGCTAGACCAAGCAAATATATTTGGGTCACTGGTGACTTTCTGAGTATGGTATCCATATCTTTCTTTGCCACAGACTATCTATAACCAGTTCTCCCCCTTTTTCCCCTAAACTGAAGTCACAACATTACATGGCTCAATCTTGTTGCTTATCAAGTTAGCAAATCCTTAGAACTAGTTGATATAAATGATTTATTTATAAGCCTGAAGCATACTTGAATACAGAGACAGAACCAGAATTTTACTGCTGGAAAAGATTAGAGCAGTAGATTTCAAACTTTAGCACTGGAAAATCCTGAGTAGAGCTTGTTAAACCAGGATGTATCAGGCCCCAGCCCCTAGATATTCAGTGTCAACAAATGTGGGTCCTGAAGTGAGAGGTCAAGAGATGATTGACTTTTAAAGTAAGGGTAATACTATTCGGAGACCATGTTGTCATTATCCCCAACACACACAGTAGTTTGTTAGAAATCTGCATGTGTTTACACTATATCCATGGGTTCCAGATTGCAGTTAAGTTAGAACTTGCCTGTGGCAATTTGCAATTGTTTTCAGCAAAATAAACATTTTAAAACATAGGTTCAATTTTGAAGACAGGGCTGTGTCATGTCACCCTCCCACCTCAAAATTAATATGCATATGTATGGCTGAGTCCCTTCGCTGTTCACCTGAAACTATCACAACATTGTTAATTGGTTATATCCCAATATAAAATAAAAAGTTAATAAATGAGTAAATATTGTCCCTTTCCAAAAAAAAATTAAATG